AAAAAAAAAAAAAAAAAGCAACATCTGTGAAGCACAATAAAGCCAAGCGCAATGAAATAGGCCTGCCTGTACATCTGGTTTTCTGCCTCCTTCACCTGGCTAACTGCGTCTTCCTTCCAAAGCTTGGACACTAAAGCAGGATTGGATGCCGCTGAGCTCTTCTAGGCCTGAGTTTTCTTTGACCTGGTCATGTGAAGCTGCTTTCAGCCCAAAAAAGGCTTATGCCCCAAAACAGGAGAAACACCTGGCCTCAGTGATCTGGAGTGTTGTCAGAAAATTCAGGAAGATGCTGTTTTCATCTCTGCCTCCCAGTATGTTTTCACCTTTGCTGTTTACACCTTAAAATTACAAAGAGAGGTGCCATTAGCCTTTTCGCTGCAGTCTCCAAAATTCTCAGTCTGGCCATGCTGTAGACATTTTTCTGTGTGGTAGCACATGGCCATCATTTGATTTCCCCGCCTGACTTTGTTGCTCCTTAGGTAAAAGGGACTGAGTTTTCACCATCACTGGATCCCCCGTGCCTGGCATAGAGTTTAGCAGACAGTAGGTGCTCAGTAATATTTGTGGAATGAATGAGGGAGCTGAGGCCCACCGAGGAGAAATGTGTTTCTGCCATTGTTTTTGATGTATATTAAGCCTTTATTTTGTGCCAGACACTGTGCTAAGTGCTTAACTTGAAGCGTCTCATTTAACTCTCATAACAACCCCACTTTTCAGATGGGGACATTAAAGCAGAAGGATGAGGCAGTTCGTAGGCATAGAGCCTGCAGGAGTGCTGAGGTTTTTAGCCCAGAGCTTGGGACCTTACTCACTGTTGAGGTTTTTGGGTTGTGGGCTCCCCAAGTCCCGCTGCATTGTCATGGGTTTCCCCAGAGTCCCTCTTTTCACAAACTTTTTGTTATCTTTGATATATTTTGGCCTAGCCTAATGTGTGAAATGTCCATTTACACTGCATCACATTTCCTGTTGACTCCCATGAACCAGCACCCTCAAAAATGCCACCCTTTGGAATCAGAATTTCCACATCATTTTAAAATTTTACTGGTGGTGGAGGGAGGTTTCGATTGTGGGAGAACAAAATGATGTGGCCAGATTATCATTAGTAACTTAAAAAAGTTATACAAGAGTTAAAATAGCTAACAAAAAGTATTTAGTGGATTTTGGCATTTCTAGTATAAGGAAACAAATTTGGTAACTGGTAGTGGTATTTCTATATATCATATTCTCAGATACAAATAGTTTTAAAATGGGCAGTTGTCAACCTTTAATGCATATAAATCACCTGGGGATTTTGTTAAAATGCAGTCTCTGATTCTGGTAGGTTAGGGGTACTTCAAGACTCCCCAGGTGATGCCCTTGCTACGGATCTAGGGACCACACTTGGAGTAACCCAGGGCTAGACCCAGCCAGGAGTGGAGATGTTGGTCTTTTTTCTGTGGCAACTGACAAGGAACCAGAGGAGCCTTTTGCATCTCTGGGGCCTGGGATTATGGGTGGGTGTCTGTTGACCAGCTCTGTTAACGGGAAGAAGAAAAGGATTTTTTGGTGTGAAAATGCCCACTAGAGGTCGCTGTTTGCCTTACCAAATACCCAGGCATTGAAGAAAATGCTGTAATGTCTCATGCTGCAGGAAACACCAAGGGGCAGAAAGTAAATTTGAGGAAATAGTGAGAGAAGTGATAGGAAAAATCAAAATACAGCAGTTTGACATGACTTCAGGAAGCGTAAACCTTTTTTTTAAAGATTTCCCCAGAAGCCATTATTTTCCAAAGAATTCCCTCCCCTTAAACTTAAAATATATATATAAGCTCAGTCCTTAAAAAAAGGTAGACAGTTGCTTAATTTTTCAGGTTCTCAAGACAACTAGTAGGTGATCTATAGAATTTTTGAATTCCGGAGTCGGGCTGCCTTGGTTTGCATCCCCCTCTGTTGCTGCTGTCGTCGCCTGGTAAATTACCAACACTAACAAGTCTCAGCACCTCTGAAAAATGGGCATAATCATAGCACTGTCGACATAAGAAACACCCAAACCTGTGGAGAATTTTTATGAGTTTATCTGAACCACTTACAACAATTGCTGGGAAGCAAAATCTCAACAGATGGAGAAAATGTTCCAGAGAATGGCGCAGCTGATTTTGTACATTAGAACCAAAGGAGGAGATTAAGGAGGGTCACGTGAAGTTCATTGGCAGTAGATTAGTGGGGCAGGGGAAAGCAAACCAGGGAAGTCTCTGAGATTGGATAAAGAATGAAAGGGAGAGGCGCACTTTTACTTGGTGGGGGCAGGATAGTTAGTGATGAACATTTACAGCACTTAGAGACGGTATGCAGGAACAAGATAATAGCGAGGGGTCTGTGCTCTCCTGCTCTGGTGGGGAGGTTGTGCCCTGAGGGGTTCGGAAAGGAGGATTACTGTGACATTCCAAAGGCCTGTTGTCTTCGATGCAAAATGACAGGTAAAGATTGACCTTTGTTGGGGAAGCTGCAGGCCTAGGATGTGAATACTGTCATGCCTGGCTTTTAGTTAGACATTTTTTTGTTCAGACCATCCTATGGTGTTACCTCTGTCTCTGAGTTTGTAAGGCCACCATGTAGGCCTCCCCTGAGCTTTCAAGTTCAGTATGTGGCACATTTTTCTTCCACAGCACCTACCTCGTAGGGTTGATTAAATGAGGAAATGGAGATAAAGAGCTTGCCCTGGTTCCTGGTATTAGATGACCCTAATAAATGAGAACTATTATTATACTGGTGCATATCAAGTCACATTGTGCTTTTGAGGTAGTGCTTTTCTCAGCTGTTGATTGATTTGTTAATTATTATAGGGATGAAACACATTTGCGGCTGAATTTCAGGTCAGAGGACATTTCTGCTCATTCTGTTGATAAGGTTCAAGGTGATCTGAAAGAATAAATGTAACTCAGTTTTTAAAACTTCATTATGGCTATTGATGGCTATTATTCCAACTTATTTATTCTTGGGGTTTTCTTATTTTTTATTCAATTTATTGGGGTGACATTGGTTAATAAAATTATATAGACTTTAAGTGTATAATCCTATAATACATCATCTGTATATTTACCATCCCCACATATTTGACCCCCTTTACCGTTTATCACCCCCATCAGAAGGGTCTGGTAACCATCACTCACACTGTTGTCTGTGTCTGTGAATTTTTGTTTGTTTGTCCTGTTTGTTTATTTGTTGCTTTCAATTTTATATCCCACATATGAGTGAAATCATATGATTCTTGACTTTTCCCATCTGACATTTCGCTTAGCATGATATTCTCAAGGTCCATCCACAAATGGCAGTATTTCATCTTTTCTATGGCTGAGTAATATTCCATTCTGTATATATACCACATATTCTTTATCTAATCATCGAAGGACACCTAGGTTGTTTCCATGTCTTGGCCACCATGAATAATGCTGGAATGAACATAGTGCTGCGTATATTTTTATGAATAAATGATTTCAAATTTGGGGGTAAATACCCAGGAGGTGTTGCTGGGTCATATGGTAACTCTGTTCTTATTTTTTTGAGGAACCTCCATACTGTTTTCAATAATGGCTGTACCAGTTTATATTCCCACCAGCAGTGTATGGGG